GAACTGTATCTGAAAGTTGAATCTGAATGAGTATCAGGATGGCATCCGTATCTGGAGTGTATCTAAACTGTATCTGAAAGTTGAATCTGAAAGAGAATCTGAATGAGTATCAGAATGGCGTCCGTGTCTGGAGCGTATCTGAACTATATTTGAGAAACCTCTGAACATTGTTAATGGTAGCTATTGATTAATCTTATCCTGAAAAGGGTAAAATGTTAGTTAATATGCAATGTCATGTTGTATGAAATGCATAATGTAATGTATTCGTGTTATCGATGTTTATGATATATGGATGCGATGTATGCGTATGTGAGCTAATTTGCTGCACGGTTGTTCGATTGGGGAAAATAAATCCCTGACTGTTGTTTAGGACATGGAGTGTAAGTCTCCATGTTGTGAAGTCGAAGTGTTGATGAATTTCCGCTTAGAGAAATAAACTCTGTTGTAAGGGAAATGATGTGTACTGCTTGTAAAAGTCTGTTGGGGAATCTTGAGAAATTGGACGGCTTTTATTGGGGATTGATAGCTGGAAGCTTCGTTCTGCTAGGGATTAATCTGCACACTGTGAGGGATTTATGGAAATATCTTAGAGATATTTCCCTATCTCTTAAAGCCATCAGAGATTGTCTTTCTATTTTGTTTATTTATAAATAGTAATTATGTTCAAAAACAAATCATTGGACGTTTTTGTAAACAAAACACAAGAGTAAAGAAAAACAGGTAGTTTTGCACGTTCAAAGGGATATCTTTGTATTGACTTTGAGTAAGTATTTTTGTACAATGAGACAAACATTCTAGTAAGAGAATGCTGTCGTAAAAAATGAAAATTTTGATACAAAGAAAAGATAGCTATGTGCAATAATCCCATGGGGTTCCCATTCTGCTATAGCCTTCGTGTCTCTGAGCATCTTGTCTGTTTGTTGCCTTGTCCAAAGCTGATTGGATTGATCAGAACCTCTGAGTTTGTCAGGTTGTCCGTAAGGTGATCCGATAAGACATAGTAGTACGCTTTAATTCCCTAACTTTTGCCTGGACCTCCCTTTCGGGTTTTCAGTCCACCGGGATACCCTTTTTTGCCCAAGCCGCCCTTTCGGGTTTTCAGCTTGCCGGGTGTACATATTTTTTTGTTTTATCCCTAATTTTTGCCCGAACCTCTTTGGTTCGCCAGGATGCCCTTATTTTGCCTAGGTATGTCAAACTAGCGGGTCTCTTATGCGTAGTATCTTTTGACCATGTCTGCGTTCGCAGGGTGCAGGAGGTCGTTGCCATCCATGGTGGTCAAGATCATTGCTCCACCACAGAATATGTTTTTGATTAGAAATGGTCCTTCGTATGTAGGAGTCCACTTGCCCCTGGGATCACCTTGCGGCAGTATGATACGTTTGATCACCAGATCCCCGACTTGATACACTTGGCGTCTGACCTTTTTGTTGAAAGCCTTGATCATCCATTTTTGATACATTTGACCATGACAGGCAGCAGTAAGCCTTTTCTCATTAATCAAGTTTATTTGATCAAGTCGAGTCTGGATCCAATCTTCTTCATTCAGTCATGCATCCTTCATAATTCTTATAGAGGGGATATGGACTTCAATAGGCAAGACAACCTCCATGCCGTATACCAGAGAGTAGGGTGTTGCCCCGGTTGATGTGCGAGCTGCGGTACGATACCCGTGGAGAGAGAATGGTAACATCTCATGCTAGTCTTTGTATGTGACTGTCATTTTCTGTATGATCTTTTTGATGTTCTTATTTGCGGCTTTGACATCACCATTCATCTTCGGCCGATAAGGGGAAGAATTGTGATGCTGGATCTTGAATTGCTCGCATAGGGCGGTGATCATAGTATTGTTCAGGTTCGTACCATTGTCTATGATGATCCTCTCTGGGATACCATACTGACAGATGAGATTCTGCTTAATGATCTGGGCTATAACATTCTTGGTAACATAAGCGAAAGAGGCTGCCTCAACCCACTTTGTAAAATCGTCAATGGACACTAAGATGAAGCGATGTCCATTGGAGGTTGTTGGCTTGATTTCCCCAATCATATCGATGCCCCACATAGCAAAGGGCCAAGGAGACATCAAGACATTCAGAGGAACCGGAGGTACGTGCACCTTATCAGCATAAATCTGACACTTATGGCAGGTTCGAGAGTGTTGATAGCAATCTGCTTCCATGGTGGACCAATAATAACCTTCCCGTAGAATTTTCTTTGCCATCGTATGCCCACTGGAATGGGTGCCAAAAGTGCCTTCATGTAACTCAACCATGATCTTTTCCGCTTCAACCTTGTCTATGCACCGAAGTAACATAGTCATGATTGCGTTTGTAAATAATACCATTACTAAGGAAGAATTTAGAGCATCTCCAATGGTGCAACCTATTATTTGGTTCTTTGTGGGACACATTGATCCACATCATCTTGAAGCAACTCACTTCAATTTTCACTCCAATGGTGTAATTCTAAAGAACTCATATTGGGTCCTACAATTTTACTTTGTATATTAATATTTTATTCATACTAAATTTTATTTGATTTAAAATAATAACCTAAATTATTTAAATTAAATTAATATAAAATAAATAAAATTAAACATAAAATATTAAAATAATAATTAAAATTAATCTCAAATACATGACATATAATTAAAAATAATAAAAATAATAAAAATATAATTAAAAACAATAAAAATAAGTTACATAACAAAATTACTCAAATTTAATTTCCATCGTCCTCATGTCCAAAACGTTCCCAAATATACTCGACTAGATCTCCTTGAGTTTGCGATGAACTTGTTTTTCACGAAGAGTTGCTCTTCTTTGTAGTCTTGTTGCAAGATTCGGATGAGGACCGTTAAATGTTTCAGTCGTTGAGTTGTTGTTACCTGCATTATCGTAAGAGTAATCAAAATCACCTCCATATGTATGTCGTTCGTCTTCGACAATCATGTTGTGCAATATGATGCAAGCATATATGGTATGCTTGAGGGTTTCCATGTGCCAAGCACGCGCTGGACCACGTATTATTGCAAAACGAGATTGAAGCACTCCAAATGCCCGTTCCACATCCTTTCTAGCTGATTCTTGGTGTTGTGCAAATAGTTTTCTCTTTTCTCCTTGTGGCATCGAAATGGTTTTGACAAATGTAGCCCACTCAGGATATATACCATCCGCTAAATAATACCCCATATTATATGGAGTTCCATTGATTGTATATTACACACTAGCAGCACGTCCTTCCAAAATATCATTAAACACATTGGATTGGTTTAACACATTAATGTCATTGTTTGAACCTGCAACACCAAAAAATGCATGCCAAATCCACAGGTCTTGCGATGCCACTGCTTCAAGCATGATCGTGGGTTTACCATGATCACCTCGACAAAATTGTCCTTTCCATGCAACAGGACAATTCTTCCATTCCCAATGCATACAATCAATGGAACCTAGCATGCCTGGGAATCCACGCGACTCCCCCATTTGTAAAAGATGTTCAACATCATTGTTATTAGGCCTTCGCAAATACTCGGCCCCAAATACCTCATTCACGCCCCTTACGAATCTCTCTAAGCACTCAATTGCAGTGCTTTCACCAATTCGAACATATTCGTCTACAATGTCAGCAGAAGATCCATATGCTAACATTCGAATAGCAGAAGTGCACTTCTGCAATGGTGAAAGACCCATTTTACCAGTTGCATCGACCCTCATTTGAAAATATTCATCATGATTTCCAAGGGTTTCTACAATTCGAAGAAATAAATGCCTATGCATTCTAAACCTTCTACGAAATTGGGAATCTGTGTATACTGTATTTTCTGATAAGTAGTCATTGACTAATCGTATATGCCCTTCTTCGCGATTCCTATTTATCACTGATCTTCTTTTTTTCCTTGATGAACTTCCAGATTGACGTTCCTTCTCGAGCATTGACAACAATAGTTCTTCATCTATGTTGTCCATTAGTTCTTCTTCAATCACCTCCCAAAAAAGTTTGTTGAGGTTGTTTGAAGTGTTTGAATCCATTGAAGTGAGGGAATGGTGATATAAAAATGATAAAAGAATGAGAGAAGGATGGTAGGAAAATGATTGAAGAATGAGAGAGGGTGATAGAAAAGTGATTAAAGAATGAAGGTATATATAAGGCTAGTTTGAATAATATTTAATTTGAATAACGGCTAGTTTGAATAATATTTAATTTGAATAACGGCTAGTTTGAATAATATTTAATTTGAATAACGGCTAGTTTGAATAACGGTTAGTTTGAATAATATTTAATTTGAATAACGGCTAGTTTGAATAATATTTAATTTGAATAACGGCTAGTTTGAATAATATTTGAAATAAAATAAATACTAAAATGTTGCATCTTATTACAATAGTTGATACATAACAAGTACTACATAATATTTAAATATAATAAATACTAGAACATTGCATATTATTACCATCCATATTTTTCTTTTAGGTTATTACACCGTTTTTCATGAAATTCACGCTGACTATCATTCATCTTAGAAGTGCCTGACATTATGAATTGCATTGCTTCAAACTCCATCTTTTCCTTTATTAATTTGTTTTCTTCCTCCTTAAGTCGTGCTTCAGACTCCATCTTTTCCTTGACTAATTTGTTTTCTTCCTCCTTAAGCCGTGCTAGATTTTCCATTAAATTCATTCTTTTAGTCATTGTATCAGAATTAACACTAGAAGGAGGTTCAGTTGCATTTGTATTTTCCTTTGCCTTACCTTTTCGTTTTGTCGCCTTTTGTCCCATAGGACGCTCCATTGGAGATGATGAGTTAAACTTATAACTTGAAGGTGTCTCTGAGTTTGGCGATGCCGTGTATGCACCACTAGTAGAATTCTTTGATCTCTTTGAAGAATTTTCAGTGGATGCTCCCATCCATTTAGGTTTATCTTTTAAAAGCCTCCATGCATACTCAAGATTGAATGGTGCACCTTCATCTTGTTCAAAAAAAGCATGTGCATTGACTAAGATATCTTTCTCTGATGCCCCACTTTTTTTCCATGAACAGCTTGTTTGTAACACCCAACAAATTTTTGAACAAGGCTATTTATTCGATGCCATCGAGATTTTAATTGGCCTTGTAGCTTTTCTCGTGACTGCCCACGATATTGGTTATAATTATCGGTGATTCTTAACCAAAAGCTATCGACTTTTTGATCAACTCCCACAATTGGATCCTTTGAAACATTGAGCCATGATTGCATAAGAAGTGTATCTTCTTCCCTTGTGAATACCTCTCGAGGTTTTCTTTTAACTGGACGCCTTTGTTCTTTATCAATTGTATTATTTTCAATACCAACTTGAGTTGAAAATTGTGGAACTTGGCGTTCGGACATAAACCCATTTGGTGTTTCGGGTTCATGATGAGAAAAATTCATCCCATGAGTATTTATTTGTGGTCTAAAATACATATTTGGGTTGTTTGGTGACGAAAAAAATACGGTAGAATTTGTTGGTGGTGGGGGAAATTGAGAATTTTGAGGATTAGAATTTTGCTGATTTTGTATGAGATGGAACATAGATTGTTGAAAATTATATTGGTTAGGGTCCATTTGACCTTAACAATAATAATTTGAACAAATAAAATAAAAAATTTGGTAAAATATATGATCAATTGAAGGCTAATAAGATGATAAAATTGTGTGAGAGAAATAAATTTATGAGATACAATTTGAAAAATATTGGGTTCTATTTATAACCAAACAAAATATTTAAAAAAAAAACAAAAAAGAAAAAGTAAAAGAGCCGTTAAACAACAGCTATATTTTTAATATTATTTTAATGTATTTTACCGTTGCATTACAATTTACTTGCAGCATGCGTGGCGAACTGTGTTTGTTAAAAAAATTGGACAGCTGGCGGACGAAACGCTATTTGCTTGGCGTTGGAGATGGTCTTAGCAGAGAATCTCCTTAAGAACTTCTTATCATTGACTGAAGCTCCTTCAGGATATTCTTGAACCTCGAGATACCTCTTGACTTCGTGAAACCAAGGCTGGTCCACTACTTCTTCAATATTAATCTCGTGACAGTGAGCTGGTTCATCCCTTCGTTCAATGGTGATCTGGGGAGCCTCGTTATCTCGTTTAAGTTTAAACATGGATGACATTGTAGCTAGTGCGTCTGCTAGTTGATTTTCTTCTCGTGGGAAATGCTCGAAGGTAATCTTCTCAAAATGTGGGAGCAATGTCAACACATGTTCTTTGCAAGGGATAAGGTTAGGGTGTTTGGTGTCCCATTCCCCTTTGATCTGGCTGATGACCAAAGCTGAATCTCCGAATACATTTAAGGATTTGATCCCTAAGTCTATGGCAGCTTTGAGACCAAAAATGCATGCTTCGTATTCTGCCATGTTGTTTGTACAATTGAAGCAGAGTCTTGCCGTAAAAGGGGTATGACATCCTTCAGGAGATATGAGTACAACACCAATACCATTGCCTAGTGCGTTGGATGCCCCATCAAAAACCAGGGTCCATCGGGATCCCTTCTCAGGTCTGTCATATGGTCTGAATTCTTCACAGTTGTTTACCATCATGATGTCTTCATCTGGGAATTCGAACTTCATGGGCTCGTAGTCTTCCACAACTTGGTGAGCAAGGCGATCAGCTAGTACACTGTCCTTTATTTCTTTCTGGGTAGTATACTGTATGTCATATTCTGTCAGGATCATTTTTCATCTCGCTATTCTCCCAGAGAGAGCAGGTTTCTCAAAGATGTATTTTATTGGATCCATTTTAGATATCAATAAGGTAGTATGAGTCAGCATATACTGTCTTAGCCGGCGAGCAGCCCATGCCAGAGCGCAACAAGTTTTCTCGAGCAGTAATATCTTGTTTCACAGTCGGTAAACTTTTTGCTCAGGTAATAAATAGGGTGCTCTTTTCGGCCAGACTCGTCATGCTGCCCCAGCACACACCCCATTGAATTTTCTAAAACGGTTAGATACATGATCAGTGGTCTTCCCTCGACTGGTGGCATCAAAACAGAAGGCTCTTGCAGGTACTCTTTTATCTTGTTGAAAGCAATTTGGCATTCGTCATTCCATCTGACTACTTGATCTTTCTTCAGTATTTTGAAGATTGGTTCACAAGTAGCTGTCAGGTGAGAAATGAATCTGGAAATGTAGTTCAAACGTCCCAAGAATCCTCTGACTTCCTTCTCAGTACGAGGAGCAGGCATCTCTTGTATCACTTTCACCTTGGCAGGATCCACTTCGATACCTTTATTGCTGACAACAAAGCCTAGGAGTTTACCAGACCTTACTCCAAACGTGCATTTATTTGGGTTCAACCTCAACTTGTACTTCTTTAACCTCTCAAACAGTTTCTGTAAATGATCAAGATGCTCTTCTTCTGTTTGAGATCTAGCTATCATGTCGTCCATATAAACCTCTATTTTGTGATGTATCATGTCGTGAAATAGAGCTACCATGGCGCGCTGATAGGTTGCCCCAACATTTTTCAGTCCGAATGGCATAACCTTGTAGCAGAATATGCCCCACTGTGTGACAAAGGTTGTCTTCTCCATGTCCTTAGGTGCCATTTTGATTTGGTTGTAGCCTGAGAAACCATCTATGAAGGAAAACACTTTGTGTTGTGCCGTATTGTCAACTAGAATATCAATGTGGGGAAGTGGGAAATCATCCTTAGGGCTTTCCCTATTCAAATATCTGTAGTCCACACACATTCGTACCTTTCCATCCTTCTTAGGCACGAGAACAACATTGGAAACCCATTGCGGATAAGAGGTGACGACCAAGAATCCAGCGTTGAATTGTTTCATGACTTCAGCTTTAATCTTCTCTGACATGTCAGGTCGCATACGACGAACCTTTTGCTTTACCAGTGGGCAATCCTCTCTTGTAGGTAGACGGTGTACTACGATATCTGCATCATGTCCTGGCATGTCTTCGTACGACCAGGCAAAGACCTCAACATACTCGTGTAGTAACTGAATCAGACGCTCTTTGACACTGGGTTCCAGGTTGGCACCCACCTTGACTTCTCTTTTGTCTTCTTCAGTACCTAGGTTGATTGTATCCACTTGCTCTTCGTGAGGCTGAATGTTCCTCTCTTCTTATTGTAATAATCTGGAAAGTTCCCCCGGTACTTCACAATATTCCTCACCTTCGTCTTCGGCTTGGTAGATTAGATTTTCAGAGTCACAAAAAGCCATAGAAGAACCGTTACCGATGGGATCCCGAATGGATGTAGACCTGCATTGTGAGTGTGAGTGTGTGTAAGAGTATAGCTATCTTTGAAAGAAATGAAAATGTAAAAAAAAAAGAAAAACAATGAGCACAAAGTTTGTATGCAAAAACATCCATGATTCATTGATGTCATATGGAAATGAGATAATAACCCTTACAAATGGACCATTGTGCCTCGGGTAAGACACAAGGTTTTAAGAGTCTGAATTATTTTAATATTAATATCCAACAAAATGTAAACACAAATTACTGTGGGATAAAAGTGATCGGGACAAAATCTCTAGCCTCCCAGTTGCTGAGCCCTCCACTGACAGTTGGGAAAATCCAATCCTCTAGGTCATAACTGTCTTCATCATCCTCCACGGTGTTGACTTGGTGGTTGCTGATCTTCAAGGGTGGTCCTCGGACACGAGCGCGGCGTACAACCTTCTGGGCACCTGAAGTGAAACCCAGACCAAACTTATCAGATTTGTATGGGATATTTGGGAGTTATCCCCAAATAGTGCACCCACCTTCTTTTATCACTGCCTTGGCATCCTTCAAAGATGACATCTTGAGTGGAGGCTTTGTGATCTTGGGAATTTGAGACACAACCTTGGTTACTGCCATATCTTGTGGGACTTCTTCAAAGTGTTGGAATGGAGTTTCAATAAATTCACCATCTAGTTCCACATATCTGAAGGAATTGAGATGGCTGACCATATACTCTTCTTCTCCATGAACAATGATGATCTTCCCTTGAATTGGATATTTTAGCATTTGATGTAACATTGAAGTAACAGTGCCAACATTGTGGATCCACGGTCAGCCTAATAAGCAGGAGTATGAAGGGTGAATATCTATTACATAAAAGGTTGAATCAAATGTTTGGGTTCTAACCTTTATGGGGATATCCACTTCCCCATTCACCATCCTTTTTGAGCCGTCAAAGGCCCTCACTACCATGTTGCTTGGTTTCAATGTCAATCCCTCACAGTCAAGCCTATCAAGAGCCTTTTTAGGCAACACATTCAGAGAAGAACCGGTGTCAACCAAGACATGAGCCAGAGTTGTGCCCCTGCATTCCACTGAGATGTGCAATGCCTCATTATGCTTCCTCCCTCTTGGTGTTAAATCAGCATCCGAAAAACCTAAACCATTATCTGCAGTCAAGCTGGCTACACAGTCTTGGAACTGATTGGCAGATGTTTCTTGAGGTACATGGGCAATTTTAAGGAACTTTACCAAGGCCTTTGCATGAGCCTCGGAATATAATAATAAAGCCAGCATGTAAATTTTTGATGGAGTTTACCCCAGTTGCTCGACTACATTGTAGTCGCTTTTTTTTATGATCTTTAGAATTTCCTCTATCTCTTTCCGGGAGGTCTCAAGAATAGCCACTGATTGTGCCTTCGTCCGGACAGGCTCAATCAGAATACCTTTACCTCGAGTCTCGATTGACTCGGCAGCAGGAATGTCAGTAGAGGTGATAACATGAATTGTAACAACTTTGCCAACATGAGTATTAGCAGAGATGATTGTGGGACTGGAAATAACCTTTGGAGGAGCAACAACAACAAGAATGATTACGGGTCTAGAAACATATTTTGGGGGAGCAATTTCTGGAGAGAATATCCTTCTGCTTCAGGTAATATTGCTAGTCCCTGCAATATTACTGATATCAGAGTCAACCTTCTCAGAATTTGAATCTTCAGCAGCTGGCCAATCTTGCTTGATACCGTGGTAGTAGACATCCCCTCCATAATTCCATGGTACGGTTTTGTCTGACGAATACGGGATTGGTCCAGGCATTGTAATTATCAAAGGAGCTACTTTAGGAACTGATGTAATTCTAACGGGTCTTTTGGTGGAGACCCTGGAAGAATTGTCGGAAATGGTCACGATGGAAACATCATTATAAGAAACAGTTGGAATTGAAGCTTTCTCGAACAAAATTTACTTGTTATCTATTAGGCACTAAATGCCTTCTTTTAACAAAGGACTGCTGGTTGGTGAGGATAAATAGAAATGACAGCTTTCATCACAGCTTGGGAAAACCCCGACATTCAATAAGTTCTTTTTAATAGTCAGGAGTGGGGTCATAAGTTCATCAACTGAAGTAACAAACATATCTTCCTCAACGGCGTTGGCATTATGGCCGTGTTTGGGCATAGGGGCAGTAATGACATTAGGAATTTCTGGTGCATCGAATTCAATCTCTTTGGCTTCAAGGATGTCTTGTACTTTGTTCTTCAGAGCCCAACAGTTGTTAGTGTCATGGCCGGAACTCTTAGAATGGTATGCACAACGGGCATTAGGATGATAGTAAGGAGAGGCTGTGTTAGGGTTCTTTGGATCTTCTTTC